CCTGACTCCCAGTGCTATCCTGCTCCTTCCACTTGAGCCCACTAGGGTCCCAGCACCCTATGGGCCACTCATAGGAACGCCCTGGGAAATGGGGCCAGCTCCCCACCAGTGCTGCCCTGGCTCCTGACATCCAGGGCAGCCCACATGCCCATTCTCACGAGAAGGGTTAACAGGCTTTGGATTCTCCAGCCTTGCTCCCCTTTCCCCCGTCCCTTTGGGTTATGGGTGAGCTAGGTCTGGGTTTCCTCTCCCCTCCCCCCACCCCCATCCTGAGCCACTGCCTGTCTCAGGCCCAGGTGGCTCCCCAAGGACTCCAGTCCATTGTGTGTTGAGGCATCAGGGCTCTGCGCTTTGGAGGCTATGCTGCGTTAGCTCCCCTCCCCAGCCCCACACAGGAGCCTTAAGAAAGCGCAGCCCTGGGAGCTAAAGCCCTGATCTTGGCTGGGGGCGGTGGGACCTACCAGGCTCCCCCCCTCCCCGTGTATCCCCTCTCTGCCCTGCCCTCCAGGACTCGCTCACTGAGCAATTGGTGCTGGAGAGGGGAGACAGCTCCTCTCACCAGCCCTGGGTTATCCCTCTCTGTCACTGATGGCTGGTTCTCTCCAGCTCCTCCTCCTGAGGCATGTCCAGGCCAGAGTGAAGATGGGGCAGCTCGGTGGGATGCAGAGTGGAGGCGGAGGGGTGTGATGTCTTGTGGATCGTCCCTGCTAATGAATAGAACGCAGGAAGTCCTGGCCAGTGATGCTGGACAGTGGGAAGACAAGGCCTGAGTGAATCGGGAAGCATAACAGGTGGATGCCCCAAAGCGAGCGGCAGGAGTGATGGGGACAGGCAGATTCAAAGCGGGAGCCACTGCGCTTAGTGAGAGCAGTGTCCCTGTCACCCTCCCTCCTCCCCATCTCTGCGGTGCACCCTCCCCCCACCCACACCCCCGTTGTGCCGTGTGATTCACCTAGGGCTTGTCTTCACTGCGGAGTGAGCTCAGGTTCCAGCTCCAGCTCGAGTCCCGTCCACACACAAACCAAACCCTTCACTCCAGCACGGTGGTGCTTTTACCAGCAGTTGGCCGGCCGGGCATGGGGTCCAAGCTACAGCTCAAGTGAGCACAATGCATCAGCGGCTGACACAGCCTCTCTGTGCAACCCCAGTGTTATTTCAGCAGGAGGCTGCTCTCACTTGGGCTGGGCTAACACCTGAGTGGAGTTAACCCTGCAGTGAGAACAGACCAGATGGCAAACTCTTTGTGGGGAGACGGGGCAGGGGACTGCCTTTCATTGCCTGTGTGTACAGCACCGACCACTGGGGAGGGTCTGGGGGTGTGGCGGCTAATTGGAGCCTCTAGGCCCTGCTGCAATCCATCCAGCAATCGTGTGCATTTGCAAGGCAAACGGGCCCCACACTTCTTAAAGGTCCTGCTTTTAATTAACGTGAATCCAAACCTTCTCAGAGATTGAGGCCTGTTTCCCCGCTGCCCTTGCACATCATGCAATTGTTTGCACCAGTGCAAAGGGAGCGTGACCACTCTGATCTGGGAGCAGTTTGCACCTTCTTAGCCTGGGTATCAATGGGTGGCCAAGGCTTGGAGCGATGAGGGATCAGGCCTCCCCTCTCTGGCTGGGTGAGTCCTGCTCTAAGGACGTGTCCTTCCTAGCCAGTCTGCCAGTGTCATTTTTCCTCCCCATCAAAATATTAAAAAGAAATTGGAGACCATTTTTGTGCAATAAATTTGGCACAATGGAGAGAAAATGATCTGGCTCTGGAGCCTTGCCAGCATCCCCATATATAATACTCAGTGGCTGGGTGCTTGCCCTCCACAGGTAGTAAAATATCCTCTTCTGTTCTGACGGTGCTGCTCTCACCTGGGACGGAATAGCAGGCTGCTTGTTCATGGCATTGCCTCTGCCCCAGAGAACAGTGCCCCCCAGCCCCCGCCCCCAGCCCAGGTGCTTTCGCTTTACGAGGAAGGGAAACACGCTATCATTCGAGAAGGCAGCTGCACCCCTTGGTCTGGGCCAAATGATCAGACACAGCAGGTGTGCCCTAGGAAAGCCACACGTCAGGCAGGGTATTCTCCCACTCCCCTGGCATGTCCCAGCTGAATAGAATCCAGGTTCCTGGCTCCTCATGCTGGGCCTTCACAACTCCATCCTTCCTCAAGATGGCCAGGGCCATGCAAAATATTCCTAGCACCCCTTTATGCCTCATGCCCCCAAGTATTCCTAGCACCCCCTCTCAGTCATCCTAGGTGTATCTGGTTTGGGGGTTTTGTTACAAATTTGCATTGTGTTTGTTTGTACGCTTGGGGGAAGTTTTCAAACTTGAGGCTAAATTGTCCAGAATTTGCAGTATTTTATTAAAAAAAGTGATTCCAGGGGAAACTAACTGGTCTCATCTTTATTTTATTTACTAAGGCCTTTGATGGTGCAACATACATAGATCCAGACCAAAACCAATGGTCCTGATCCTCTTGCTTACACCAGTTTTATACTGGTATAACCTTATATGCTGCAGTGGAATCATTCCTGATTTCCACTAGTGTGAGCGAGGAAAGAATGGTTGAAATAAGAACCTGGTTTTTAACAAGGAGGGGAATTAAGCATTGGAACGACTTACCTAGGGATGGGTGGATTCTCCACAGAATCGCAGAAATGTAGAGTTGGAAGGGACCCTGACAGATCATCAAGTCCAGCCCTCTGTACCGAGGCAGGACCAAGTACACCTAGACCAGCCTTAGCAGGTGTTTGTCCAACCTGTTCTTAAAAACCTCCAGTGATGTTCCAGAGCTTAACTACCCTGAGAGTTAGAAAGGTTGTCCTAATATCTAAGTTAAATCTTCCTTGCTGCAGATTTATCCCGATCTTCTCTGGACAGGGAGAACAATTGCTCGCTGTCCTCTTTATAACAGCCCTTAATAGAGCTGAAGAGTCTTATCAGACCCCTCCCCTTCTCTTCTCAGGAATGCACATACCCAGCTTTTAAATGGTTTCCTCCGAGCTCAGGGTTTCTAACCCTTCGATCATTTTAGTAGCTCTCCTCTGGACTCTCTCCAGTTTGTCCCCATCTTTCTGAAGGTGTGATGCCCAGAACCAAACGCAGTGCTCCAGCTGAGGCCTCACCAGGGCTGAGTAGAGCAGGACAATTACCTCCCGTGTCTTACATATGCCACGCCTGCCGATACACCCCACAATGATCACTGCATCACATTGCTGACTCTCATTCAGTTTGTGATCCACTTTGTGATCCAGACCCTTTTCAGTTGTATTGTCACCTCGCCAGTTATTCCCCATTTTGTAGTTGTACATTTGATTTTTCCTACTTGTGTGTAGTACTTTACATTTGTCTGTATTGATTTTCATCTTGATGATTTCAGACCAATTCTCCACATTGTCAAGGTCATTTGAATTCTAATCCTGTCCTCCAAAGTGCTTGCCAACCCCTCCTAGCTTGGTGTCATCTGCAAATGTTATAAGCATACTCTCCACTCAATGATCCAAGTTATTAATGAAAATATTGAATAGATCTGGACCCAGGACTGATCCCTGTGGTACCCCACTCGGTGAACCATTGATAATTACTCTCTCAGTACATTCTTTCAACCACTTGTGGACCCATCTTCTGTTTTCATCTAGACCATATTTCCCTAGTTTGTTTATGAGACTGTCATGTGGGACTGTGTCAAAAGCCTGACTAGAATCAAGAGATATCACGTCTCCTACTCCCCCCGCCATCCACTAGGCCAGTAATCCATCAAAGAAGGAAATTGGTTTGGTTTGGCATAATTTTTTCCTTAGAACCCCATTATCTTCTAGGTGCTTACAAACTGATTGCTTTCTAATTTATCCCAGTATCTTTCCAGGTATCAAAGTTAAGATGGCTGGTCTATAATTCTCGGGTTCCTCTTTGTTCCCTATTTTAAAGATAAGTGCAATGTTTGTCCTTCTCCAGTCCCCTGGGACCTCATCTGTCCTCCAAGGGGTCGCAAAGATAATTGCTAATGGTTCCAAGATTGCTTCAGCTAGTTCCTTAAGTATCCTACGGTGAAATTCATCTGGACCTGCTGACTTGAATACGTCTCATTTATCTATATTCTTTAACCCATTTCCACTTGTGGTCTTTCCTCCTTGTTAATATTACTTGTGTTGAGTATCTGGTCACCATTAACCTTTTCAGTGAAATCTGAAGCACCATACGCATTAAACCTCTCAGCCTTCTGGATCTCATCCATAATTAGCTCTCCTTGCCCCGTAAGTAGAGGACTTCCACCACTTATACCCTTTTAAATGAAGATTGAATCTTTCGAAAAGACATGCTCCAACTCAGCCACATGGTGCAGGAATGACAGGCTGAAATTTTGTGCCCTGTGTTAGGCAGGAAGTCAGATTAGCTGATCATAATGGGCCATCTGGCCTTTAAATTTGAGTCATTAATTATTGCAAGAGAAAAACAGAATCTTAAACTCCCGTCTTGTCACGTAAAAAGTTTTTCAGTTTCTCTTTCAAGGTGCTACTAATTATTCCAGAGAACACTTGGGCCACAAAGTCCCACCAAACATGAGCCTTACAGGATGTGTCTAACCCTATGATGCTGCATTCAGTGGCTCTGCACACAGATTCTGTACCAGTAGAACCATGGCAGGTTGGGAGTGATTTTTACTGATGATTTATACCAGTCTGATCCCTAATGTGGACGCAGTTACATTGGTATAAAGGTGCCTTCGGTCAGTAACCCTTATGCCCCTTGCCATGTGGGAATAGCTATCCTAGTACAAGTCAGTATAACTACATCCACACTAGGGCAGGTTGTACCGCTTTAAGTATACAGGGTAAGTTAAAGTGATTCAACTTTCTAGTGTAGACAAGGCCCCAAAGTTGCACCAGTTTACCTACACTGGTATCAAGTCATATCTTTAGTGTGACATTGTGGGTAGCTCTGGGCTGGCTGTTTGCGTGAGTCTGTTGTAGCTCTTCCACATTGACGGCTTCTGTTTGCTCTCCCCCCAGGTGTTTAGGGAACCCAATGTCCCCAGGAGACAGACAGAGCAAGAGCCCTCGCTAGAACCGCCGCAGACACGCCCCGGGTGTGCTAAAAGCAAGGGGCTGATTCCAGCCGGGCCCCCTTGGCACGGAGCAGGTAAGGCGCAGGAGGCCAAGGCCAGGCTGCGGTGTGCAGAGGTTGGGGCTCCTTAAGATCCATTGGTCTCCTCTGGGGTGCGTTTCTGTTTCGGTTTCAATAGAGGGGCTCCCTTTTCCTGAGCAGAGGGCAAGGCGGGCCCTGAGGTCCCTGCCTGCTTCACCTGCCCAAGGAGCTGGGGGGAGGGGGGGAGCACTGAGATGATGGGTGGGGTGAAGGGGCCAGGAAGGGCTCCCCCAGGCTGCTCTCTGGGACTGGGCTGGTTCCATCTGGGCTGCCCTGTCCTTGCAGCTGCAGGGTTGGGGGGGCAGCTCAGACACACGCACCCCCCCCCACACACACACACCCCCCGGCCATGGGCAGGGAACATTTCCCCCTGCCAATGTGGGCGTGGCTCTGAGCCTCAGAAGGGGAGGAGGGAGCAGGGTGGGGGTGCGTCATGCGGGTCGTTCTGGCCGAGCCCACCAATCAGGCGGGCCGCCCGGGCTCCCCCAGCGCCCCGGGGAGCCGCGGCAGCGCGAGCGGGGCGGGCCGGCCATGCCGCGGCGCTGGCAGGGAGCTGTCCTTCAGCACCACCCGCAGCAGCGCGGCGGCTCGCCCCGCCGCCAGCCCCCGCGGCGGCCGGGATCTGTCCGGCGCCGGAGCCCCGGCGAGCGCTCGCCCGCCGCCCTGCGCCACCAGCCCGCCGCGGGGCGCCCGCCGCCGGCAGCGCTTCCCCGCCGCAGCCCCGCAGCCCAGCCCCTGCCCCCGCGAGCCCACGACCCGGGGGGGCGCCCCCGCCGCCGCCGCTGCGCAGCGAAGCCGCCCCCCGCCCCGGGCGGCTGCCGCCTCCCGCGGGGTGCGCAGCCCGGCTGCGGAGCGGAGGAGCGGGCTCGCGTGCGGCAGCCCCCCGCTCAGCCGCGGGGCCCCGCGCGGCGCGTCCCCCGCCCGCCTTTGCCGCCGCTGCGCCTGCCGCCCGGGGAGAGCAAACCGCCGCGCCGGCTGGAGCCCGAACCGCAGCGCTGCCGCGGCCAGCAGCGAGCCCGGGGCGAGGCGGGGCGGCGAGCTCCGAGCCCGCGGCCGCGCCAGCGGCTCGCAAACTTCCCCGGCGCCGGCGGCTCCTGCGCGTCGCGGCGCTGCGGGTCCCAGAGCCCCCCAGAGCAGCAGGTAGGGGCGTGCGTGGGGGGGGTGGGTGTGTGTGTGTTCGACTCACTCTGTGTGTGTGTGTGTTTTCGAGTGTGTGTGTGTTTGTGTGTTCTAGTCACTCTGTGTGTGTGTGTGTTTTCGAGTGTGTGTGTGTTCTAGCGACTCTGTGTGTGTGTTCTACTCACTCTGTGTGTGTGTGTGTGTGTGTTTTCGAGTGTGTGTGTGTTCTAGCGACTCTGTGTGTGTGTGTGTGTTCTACTCACTCTGTGTGTGTGTGTGTGTGTGTGTGTGTGTTTTCGAGTGTGTGTGTGTTTGTGTGTTCTAGTCACTCTGTGTGTGTGTGTTTTCGAGTGTGTGTGTGTTCTAGCGACTCTGTGTGTGTGTTCTACTCACTCTGTGTGTGTGTGTGTGTGTGTTTTCGAGTGTGTGTGTGTTCTAGCGACTCTGTGTGTGTGTGTGTGTTCTACTCACTCTGTGTGTGTGTGTGTGTGTGTGTGTGTTTTCGAGTGTGTGTGTGTTCTAGCGACTCTCTGTGTGTGTGTGTGTTTTCGAGTGTGTGTGTGTTTGTGTGTTCTAGTCACTCTGTGTGTGTGTGTGTTTTCGAGTGTGTGTGTGTTCTAGCGACTCTGTGTGTGTGTGTGTTCTACTCACTCTGTGTGTGTGTGTGTGTGTGTGTGTTTTCGAGTGTGTGTGTGTTCTAGCGACTCTCTGTGTGTGTGTTTTCGAGTGTGTGTGTGTGTTTGTGTGTTCTAGTCACTCTCTCTGTGTGTTTTCTAGTGTGTGTGTGTGTTTGTGTGTTCTAGTCACTCTCTCTGTGTGTGTTTTCGAGTGTGTGTGTGTTTGTGTGTTCTAGTCACTCTGTGTGTGTGTTTGTGTTTGTGTGTTCTAGTCACTCTCTGTGTGTGTTTTCTAGTGTGTGTGTGTGTGTGATGTGTGTGTGTGTTCTAGCGACTCTGTGTGTGTGTGTGTGTGTGTGTGTTTTCTCTGGGGACTGTGCACTTTTCCCCCGTGCTCCTCTTAGCTCCTCCTCGCCCAGTGTCATTGTGCAGTGCAGTTTGGTCCCCCTGGTGTGTGTGTGTGTGTGTGTGTGTGTTTGGTTTGTAAAGCTCACACAATGCACCACTGGACGGGGGGAGGGAGGATTTGCGAGCAGCCCTGCTCTCCGAGTCCAGCTAATTGCAGCTGGCAGAGGAGAGATTAGTGAAGTGGGGAGAGAGAAAACCCAATGGACCCAGTCAAGGGGGGGGGGCATTTTAATGATGCTTGACTGCTAGCAGATCTTTGTCTGAAGAGCCTGGGACTCACCAAGGAAAATGTAGGTACCGGGGTTGTGTTAAATACCTGATTCCTTTCTGTGTGGTTAGGAAGGGGGGATAGATATATACCTTCATAGGAAACCTGGATATGTTTCTTTCCCACCCCCGAAAACCTAATGAGGCTGCTGGAATCCCATAGAACTGTCGGGGTCCCCCCTGGCCTGAACTGCTGGGTTTAGAACATTTTGATGACAGGCTCAAACTTTGCCTTCTTCCCTCCCCACATCATCTTGTGGAAGTGAAGTCCTGGCCTTGCAGAGGGTATTGGGGGTGGGCTCGTCCATCAGGTCTGGGTGCTGAGCCCTGCTTCTTTCTGAGCTGAAGGATGTGATGCTGAATTTGGGGGAGGGAGAGGGATTCTTGAAAGTGGCTACAAATTCAGCGCAGGGTTTTGTCCTTCTCTGAGACTGAACGGTCCGTGGGGGTCTGTGAGATTGGGCCCAAGGAATGATTCAGGGATAATTTTGTTTGTAAGGGTGTGAAATTCTCTCTGTTACTATGGCCTTATGGAGCAGTTCTCAACCTGGGGGTCACAATCCCACAGGTGTCAGGGGGCCACGCCCACCCTGCTCTTCCTGCAGTGCTAAATGGGAAAAGGGGGGGCGGGGTCCCAGATAGACCACGGGTGGATGGGAGGAGGGTGATCCCTGTGTGGAGAAAGGGGCCCTGGCTTGGAGATGGGTAAGAATCCCTGTCCTTGTCTCTTCCCTTAACCTTGAGTTTCACCCGATTCTGATTTCTGGTTGGCTGGTTAGTTTCCTGTCAATTGTAGCTAAAGTGCTGTTTGATTCCATCTCTGGGTGCGTCCCAAGTGCCCACACCCTGGGGTGGGGGAAATGGAAATAAACGGCCAGTAGCCTCACCTGCCTAGGGTCTGCTGACTTATGGCTCCTGAACATTTCTCTGATCCTCCTCGCGCTGGTGCTCAGTAAACCTTGAATGAGCAGAGGGCTTAGAATGAGGGGAGCGTTCTTCAGTCTGAACTTTCTAATATCCCTGGCATTGGGCAGAGACCCGTTCAATCAAAGGGAATTAGTAGCTGTGGCAGACAGAGGTGAGGATAGCTTGTGTGTGTGTATCGATCTCTGCAGAGGCTCAGAGAACTACCCAAAGTAAAGGCTGGAGTTTTCAGTAGGAACCGAAGTGAATTAGGTGCATATGTTCCATGGAATTCCAGTGGATAGGGAGCACCCAACTCCTTTTATGCTCCTTTGAAAATCTCACTCAATATATCTGGGCTTGATCCAACGCCCATTGAATTCAGTGAGTTTAAATCAGGCCTTTACATCCAACTAAGGTGTTCATGTCTTGTTTTATCTCAGCTGGACCATCAGAGTTTTCTCTTTTTTAATTAACCTATTGATTGATTGCAAGGTTTTCTACAGAGGATAAAAGATCCCTGATAATTCACCAGAGAGATTGAAAAAACAAAATAGACAAACCGTTCATGCGTTATCTTTGTGCTTTTGCCTTTTATAACTTCTCAAAAGGGATCCAAGACTTTAATATTAGAAGTCACGCGTTGCGAGTAATGTCTTCTATTAGAAGGAGTTTGAAGCTTTTCCAGAGTAACAGCTGGTTTGCTTTTTTACCATAACGTCACTTCCTAATGGAGTGGAAGTGTGGCCGGGCAGCCTTAGCCATGTAAAGATGGGTTAGCAAGTTTAGTGTCTGCAAACAGCTGCATCTCCATGTAGGTATTGACTTGGCTAGCTTAACGGTTCAGTGTTTCTGCAGTGAAGTCCAGCCATCCAACCCTAGAACACTGCAGTAGCTGGACAGTATTTCCCAAACCGGGCTTGCAGAAAGAGGTGTGCAAAAGCCATTGAATTGCTCGTGCCAAGTCAATTTATATGGATATGAAAGGAAGAGGCCTCTCTCGCTCTCTCTCTCTCTTTCTCTCTCTCTCTCTGCACCCACTGAGTTTATAGAATTAGCAGCAATGTGCATTTAAAATTGTCTGTCACCAGCAGCTGTAGATCCCAGCGACTGGAGGGAGGAGTGGTGGTGGGGACTTCGGATAAAGGGAAAGGAAAATAGAAATGTCACACTCGTGTCCTCGCTGCCTCCATCATGGGCTGGGAGATGAATCAGAGCAGCGCTGGGGAAGTGGACTCCGAAACAGGCCCAGGAAGGGGGAGAATCAAATTTTGGAAAACTGCTTGATTAAATGTCATGTTTTATCAGTATCGGTCAGTTCCGCCCGATGCATGAAATTGTCTTTCTAGAGCAAGGGAAATCCTGCGCTGTTTTGCAGGATCTTTGAATGACACCCTTTACTTTTAATACCCTTCCTACTGGCCTGCCCCTTCCCCCAAAAAAGTGATGGAGTCTTTCCATAAATGGTCCAGATCAGCTGAGGTAAATCAGCCCTAGTTCTGATTAAATCAGTGGGCCCAGATCCCCACCTGTTACAAATCAGCATCACTCTCTTGCTGTCAGTGATGCTCTCCTGATTTAAACCAGATGAGGATCTGGCCCAGACTGATGCAGGGGTAAGGGATCAAAATCTACCCTTTTTGATTTTGTTCAGCTAAGGGACCAGTCGTGGCCTGAGAATATTTGATAACTGCTTATATGGGGATGGTGGGAGGTTTTAAAAAGCCCTGATAAGTAACATTTGTACGGCTGCAGATCCAGGCTTCGTGACTTGTCCTCAGCAGCATTTGTTTGCTGAGAGAGGCCTTCTAATCTATTACAACTGGGGGACCAGCCTGTTACCTGGGGTGTGAAGGGAGGCTACAACCACGCGAATGGAGGCAGGCAGCATTGAACAAGAAAGCTGGGATCCTAGGGAAGGGACCGGCCCCTCCAGTGACAGCCGTGGGGTTCACCACTCGTCCCATGACAGTGCCGCGTGTCCAGCTCTTGATTTATGTAATTTGAGTATTTCCTGCAATAAAATGCATCCACTCCAAAGTCAAGTCCGAAATGCATCCAACGTTGCATCTGGATCTCAAAGTGACGGGGTCTATAAAAAGACTCTTTTGCCCCCAAATAAGCATCCCTGGCCCACTCTTCCCCCCCACCCCTGCCAATCACAGCCCCAGGGAAGTTGGTAAACTAGGAAGAGGCTTTGCAATCTGCCCTTAAGAAGGGGTGGGATGTGTGTGTTTGTGTCGTGCTCTGTCATAGACACCCCTCTCCTAGTGAGGTGTGTCTGTATCTACAATGGAGGAGCTCTGATATATGGGCCTGATCCTGCAAGCCTTTCTTTGCTCAGCTGCCTGGCTCTGGCAGGGTGCTTGTGTGAGGGAAAAAGAAAAGGAGTACTTGTGGCACCTTAGAGACTAACCAATTTATTTGAGCATGAGCTTTCGTGAGCTACAGCTCACTTCATCAGATGTTTACCGTGGAAACATCTGATGAAGTGAGCTGTAGCTCACGAAAGCTCATGCTCAAATAAATTGGTTAGTCTCTAAGGTGCCACAAGTCCTCCTTTTCTTTTTGCGAATACAGACTAACACGGCTGTTCCTCTGAAACCTGTCATTGTGTGAGGGAAGGCTCCTGGCAGGGAGGAAAAGGGTTTTCAGGATCAGAACTGCTGCCTGGATCCTCTGATCTCCATGGAGGCAGGCAGGGGATTTTTTTAGAAGGACAGCCTGATGCTTTGCAGTTCTGTGACTTTCACCGAGGATGGCAAAGCGCATCCCAAAGACCACATAACAACCCCCTCCCCCCAACTCAATAAACAATAAAAGCCCCAGGCCTGGGCAGGGGGTGGCGGCACCCGTTAGCATCAGGTGAGCAAACAGGGCAACGAGGGCAGGAGACGCGTGGCTGAAGGTCGCGCAGTGAGTCGGGGACAGAACCGAGGCAGCGAGATTCCAAATCGCCCGTTATTCCCTCTAACCCGTGTTCTCCTGCCAGCTGGGAGTAGAACCCAGGAGTCCTGACTCCACCTGCCCCACTAGCCCGCCCTCCACTAAAGCTATGTGTGGAATGATACAGAAGCTAAAAGCACAGCTGTAACGCCTCCCATAGCCAATGAAAGGAAAGGGCATGGGCTCTTTCCCTTTCAGGGTCAGGGTTGCTCTGCTCTTACCAGTTGTTGCGTGACCTTGGCCAAGCCACTTCCCTCTTTGGGCCTCAGTTTCCCCATCGGTACAATGCAAGGTAATACCTGCCTAGCCCATGCCCAAAAGGCGCTCCCAGCTCCTTGGTGGGAAGCTGGTGCGGAAGGGCGCCCGCTAAAGCCAAGAGGCAGCACAGAGCAGCCACCGTCTCACTCCGTTGCCTGTCCTCAGTCCCCATTTAAAGGATCGTTAACGAGGTGCTGAGCAACGGGCCGGATCCTCCCTTGGTTTGAATGGAGCCTGAAGGGATCAGGCACCAAGGCCCAGCCTGTGGGCCTGTGTCAGCAGCTCGGGGAGGCTCCTCCGGTATGTCTGGGGGGACAGCCCCCAGCGCCGACCTCCCTTTGTTCTAAGCGCTTTGTAATTAGTAGAGTGGCCCGCATGCAATCTGTGTCTGGAGATAGAGAAGAGAAGCGTGCTGAGCCAAGCTGGGGCCGCGTTCATACAGGGCAGTGGCAGCGCCTTCACCCAGTGGGGGCTTTTCCAATTAACTTGATTGCCGAGGAGCCAAGAATTGGGTCTAAGGTGCAGAGTTTATTATATAACATGACCCAGCAGCTGCAGGACCCACAGCAGATGCATTTAACCAGCTGCTGTCTCATGGGTGTCTCAGTTGTGGAATGCTGTGCAAAGGGTTAGAGGCCCTGGACTGGGACTCAGGAAACCTGAGTTCTGTTCCCAGCTCTGCCTCTGGTCTGGTGGGTGACCTTGGGCAAGTCACTTCCCTGCTCTGTGCCTCAGTTTCCCCTCCCACCTTTGTGTGTGTTGCCTGCAGTATAAATCTTTGGGGTGGGGACTGTCTCTCACTATGTGTCCTGATCTCAGTTGGGCCTTCTAGGTGTTACTGTAATACAAAGATAGAACAAGTGTATGGAGGGAGTGCTGTGTGTTAGGGAGAACACACAACTGGGTGTCAGGACTCCTGGGTTCTCTTCTTGGCTTAAGGAGGGTGTGTGGCCTAGAGATTAAGGCACAGGGATGTCAGTCAGGACTCTTGGCTTCTAGGCACAGCTCAACACTTGGGCAAGTCACTTCCCTGCTCTGTGCCTCAGTTTCCCCACCTGTAAAATACAGATAGTGAGTTCTGCCTAGCTCCTGTGGTGACAGGCACCATATAACTGCTGAGCACAATGATCGTCTACTATGAATAACTCCAGAGTGGCGGCCTTGTTGCAAATGCTTCCTTGCTCCATGCAGTGTATGGACCTGAGGCCCGTTGCTGAGTGGATAATCAGCTGTTCTAGCACATCAGTCAAACAGCATTTAATAAAACCCAGTCCTGAGGTGGGAACTCGGCGCCAACGCCAGACAACGTGTGGCCTACGGTAACACAAGTGTGGCTCTTTGTCTCCCTCTAGTGACTGGACCAAATAGAGCAGTTTATGAGTCAGTTACAGGCTTAAAGTGACTGCACCTGGCCCTTTAGTGCAGGCAGTCGGGGCTGGTGATTTGAGATCCAAGGTGCAATCCACACAAGCCGGGGTGATGTTACAAGCGATAGCTTAAATGCACGATGCTGCATAACAGCAGTTGTATATGAAGGTTCCCCATGCTTTGCAGTTTGCCTGGTGATTTATGCTGAGAAGGCAAGAGAATGGCTCATACCCTTGCACATCCTGAGGGCTGTGGTTCACCACTTTACACTGCAGGGGACACCGCCAGAACCCCGCAGTGGGTTTTCCCCCTCCGTTTGCCATCAATCCCCACCCTACAGACACATCCCTGAAAGATCAGAGAGCCGCCCTCCTACCAGCCCTGTCCCCATCCACCAGCTGTGGCCCCGACAGCCACCAGCTTGATAGGCCCCTCGTGCAGGACAGGTAACATCATGCCCTGCTGAGCTTGGCCGTGCCGGGAATAAAGAGCAGAATCTCAATGCTCCCCACTTGCCCCTGCTGCGGCAGTACCCCGAATTCTAGTACCTGTGGCCCGAAGTAGGCAGCCCACCAGAACCATTTGGAAAGGCCGTTACCGAACGCAGTGGCCAGTGATCGTCCTGCACGGTGGCATGGCATCGGGGTGGCTGGGAGCCCGCAGCCTTGGAGAGGGGCCGGAGCTGGGGCAAACAGCCGTCACTCGGGAATTGTTTCCTAAGAGGCAGTGTGTGAAAGGTGCCCAATAGAAGCAGACAGCCAATTAATCTCCCCTTCATTTAGAAAACAATGAGGAACAAATAGTCCAGTGGCTGCCATCGGGTCGTGGCTGATGGCGCAGGCATGGAGCACGCCCATCCAGAAGACAAGTTGCAGGCCCACCGCGCTTAGAGAAAGCAAACCAAAAGGCAAAAAGAATTGTCAGCGGAGGAAAATGTTGCATTTGAGACTGTCCTCTGCCAGCGATCCCGTCGGCCCCCTGTATTCCTTTAGCACAGGTGCAGGTACAGGGACACCTGCATTCTGTTCCAGCCACCGAGAGGGGAGTGGTGTTTAGTGGTTAGAACAGGGGCTTGGGAGTTAGGACTCCTGGGTTCTATTCCTGGCCCGGGGAGGGGAGGCTAATGTGTTAGAGCAGAGGGGGCAGGGCACCTAGGTTCAACTCCCAACCAGGATTCGCTGGGTGACATTGAGAGAAAAGGTGGGTGAGGGAATATCTTGGACTGGCCCAACTTCTGTTGGTGGAGGAGGGTGATATGGTTTAATTTTCTCCCCTGTTCAAACTTACCCTGGAGCGATTCTTCACCTCACAAGAAGAGGGGAGAAAATCAAATGATTCCAACCTCACTCACCAGCAGAAGCTGGTCCAATACAAGATATTCCCTCCCTGACCTTGTCTCTCTCTTACCCTGGGACTGACACGGCTACACCAACCCTGTAAACAACAACAAGTGACCTTGAGAAGGTCGCTTCTGGCGAAGGTTTTATCCCCCAGCTGCAGCCGTTGAGAGTAAGGCCTTGGTTACACTTTACAAGTTTTATTGGTATAACTATATTGGTTAGGAAGGGTTGATTGTTTTTCACCTGAAATAATTATACAGGTGAGATGTAGTTAGATTAGTGAAAAGGTACCTTACACTGATACAGCTTATTCCCCGTCCTGTATGCGAATAACTGTGATGCTGTTTGTGCATTCACACTAGGGTCTTCGTACCACTTTAGCTAGACGGCGTGCAGTGCTGTTTCTAGTGTAGACAAGGCCTGCATGTCTCTGGGTCTCTGCTGTGTCATCTGTAAAGGGGGGGAAATAGAGCTGGCTGAGAATTTTTGACCCAAACTTCTTCTTTTTTTTTTGTTTTTGGTGAAAGATGAAGGTATGGATCAACTGAAACGTTTCACAAATTTGCATCGAGTTTGGGGAACTGTTTTGGTTTAAAAAAAAGTCAAAACGTTTTGTTTGAACATTTTCTTAACCAAACAATTGGATTTTTTGATTCAAAAGTATCTTTAAAAACATTTTCAAAATAAAAGTAAAAGGGAAAAGAAGCTGGAAATCGAATGACATTTTTTCAACTTTTTGAATTTGACAAAAATTCCCCAAAAGTTTGGTTTGGGGTTGACCCAAAATGATTTCCCCCCCTCCCCCAAATCCGTTATTCGCCCAGCAGTAGGTGATAAAAATACCCTTAAATTGCACCTGGCACAAAGGGAGAATAATCTTGAGTTCCTGTAAGCTAGATCTTCCTTTCTCCTTTTATGGAGGACAGAAGGGATCAGCAGGATGGAGGAGTTATTTATTATTATTTATTTATTATTTTCTTGCTGACATTTTCTGTTGAAACTGAACGATTCAAGAGGTTGAAATAGGGTTTGTGATGCCAGGTCTGGACTGGACCCTCACACACCTGAGATGACATGTTCCCTGCAGACAATTTCAGTTTTGACAAAACCAAATTTTTCCTTTTGGGAAAATATGAATGCAGCTAATTCCTGCCAGCTTGGACTCTGAGCAGAGGAGTTAGGGCCTACGCTGCATCCTGGGATGGGGAATCCTGGGGTCAGAGAGCAGCCCCAGCCACCCAGGACATGGACACATGACCCCAAATTTGCAGTTTCTCATTTTCAGGTCTCATGGGAGAGTTTGCAGATTATTGGTGGGAGCTGGATTTCAGGGAGGTACCACCCGGATGCTCATACTAATGTGAACCCAACCTCTTACCTGACTGCCCCGACAGGGCATACTCCTTCCTGTCCTCACAACTGAAGCAGTTAAATGGCCCGTCACACCCTCTCTGCTCCACATAGTTTATCAGATTTTCTCCTCTCCCCCAGTTTAGCCTGGGCACTGTCTCTGAACCTTTCTCTGGTCTCTGCTGCAGAGAAATCCCTGCGGATGCTCATGCCACCTCCCCAGCCTTGTCCTAGCACAGAGAGCACTTAGCTGTGGCAGGAGAAATGGTGTTGGCAGGGGATGGGGCAGGTTACAGGCCTCTGCGAGTGAAATTCATGCTCTGTCAGGGCCCGATCCTGCTCCTCTGAGTCACGGGGAGATGGAGCGGTTGGCCTGGGAATGGATCCAGTGATTATGGAACTGGCACTCTGCCAGGAGAGGGGCCCATTTTACATATGGGAAAACTGAGGCAAAGGGGGGTGGGGGAGGTGACTTGCCCAAAGTCACAAGAGAAGTCAGTGGCAGAGCTGGAAATAGTCCTGAACAGAGTCCTGATTCCCACCCCCCTTTTCTAACCACTAGACCACCCTCCCTCCGGGGACAGAAGCCCTCTTTCACTTGTGCTCTAACCAGTATCCTTACAGGGAAAAAAAGATATTTTCGGTTTTGATATCCATGGGCTTGAGAGAACCTTTTCAGGGATGCTGTCTGAGTTCGTGGTCCCAGCTTTGCCGGTGGGTTGTAACATTTCACGTCCTGTGTCTTTTTTTTTCCAAATTCCAAGCCCTGTTTTTAAACCTGGCATGTTGGAAAGTTTGACTTTTATATTTAGCCAGAGTTCCATCCCAAGCT